AAAGATCTAAATGCCAAGGTCTTCGGCATTAGATCGGTAGACGATCTGGTTCAGTTTGGACACGTGATCCAGTAACCAAACATACAATAAAGTTCACTATAGATGACCTTAATTCTAGCTTACTACTTTTGACTTTGATAACCTGTCATTTGATAAATCCAAGCACATTTCATTATCAATGAATTAGTTTGTCATTCCGTGTCATTGTATTTCAAAAATATTGATCGATTATGCATGAATTATCGTAATCATGTATTAATTGTCTGTGTACTAGATATCTTGTCAGCTTAATCTAATTTCGAAATCAAATAAGATCGGTTTGTAATACACGGTTATATAACTTACATGACCTGTACATACCTGTACTTTTTCCCATCTCATGTGTCAGTATTATTTTTGTCCCGGTCAGCATTGTGTCCACACCGTCACAGTTTAACTGCTATGGACAATTACAATGTATTGAAAAGTCTGCCCTCTTTTTCTTTATCTATGACCCATAGTATCAGATTTCTCTGTTTACAAACATATGTATGTGCACTTCACTGAGTGTGTGTGTGCAGTCACGTGGTCAAGTGCATGCTACCGTGAAGCAGACATATTGGGTTATCCCATATGTAGGTTTACCAGTTACCTGTATCATGTGAGCTGGATCTTATTTACATGTTATAATTCCACTGTTTTCATCAATATAATTCTCCTAATGCCGTATAAATAATAAGTTATTACCTTCATTCAATTACTATATAACCACGCGTTGTGTTTGCACATGTAAATATGTAATTATAAAATCAAAGGCTTTCTCCCCTGTTGCCGCATAGACAATTCTTCGTATTAACCCGGCCCGTGCGCCAATGTTAGAACCTCAACTTTGACCTCATTGTGTACCTTGCTGTTATCCAAATGCACACGACGTTTATATTTCTCTCTCTACTTCTTCTGTTCCTTCATTATCCTATCCCCCGACCCGTCCCCCACCTTACTATTTATATGATACTGTCGTTGTTCAAACTATATCTGTTGTATTCTGTCCGAGCACACCATTGTTTCATGCTTTTGTACACCAGTACTGATGTGACATAATGCTGATCTCGTTACAATTACACCGTGCTCGGATAGGACTATTTAATAGAAAAGTTTTTCAGATTTCTACGAAATTAGTTAAGGTTATAATTAATGCTAAATCTCAAGACTCTCTGGGATTTTGTGATGTAGCTCATTGTCTTTTGCATTTTTTTCTCCTGTGTGTAATTCAGTTGTTACTTATTATATCAGGCAATATTGAGATAAATCCAGGTCCTTCGGACAACTCCGACTCTGCCTCTGAAATCTCCTCCGAATCTTCCTACCTCTCTAGTAATGCAAGCGACTATTACGACAGTACTAAGTATTCTTTTGTTCACTTGAACGTCCAAAGTCTCCGGAATAAGATGGATGTATTATTTACCGAACTGCACAACGTCTGCGTACTTTCATTTACTGAAACTTGGCTCTCCACTAATGATAACTTAACAGATTTTACTTTTCCTGGTTATTGTGAACCGTTTTGTTATATTAGATCTGATCGTGTAGGAGGGGGAGTGTCTGTGTACGTAAAAAATGACATACCTGCTAAGCGTCGCCCCGACTTAGAGCTTCCTACTGTTGAATGTGTTTGGGTAGAATTGAATTTAGCAGGTACTACTGTACTTTATGGCACTTTCTACAGACCACCTAATTCTCCAGTCTCTACATGGGATCATATTTCACAATCGTTAGAACTTGCTTTTAATACTGGGTGTGATAATATTGTTTTAACCGGTGACTTGAATGCTGATTATTTAACTAATAACCAATCCGTTCCATATTTACACGAATTATTACACACTTTCAATTTAACCCAAATGATATCGTCTCCTACCTTTTATACTGAAAATTCTTCATCATTGCTTGATGTTATTTGTGTGAGTAATCCATATTTGATTGAGAAATGTTCTGTTGGGGAAAGTTTTCTAGACCAGCCCCTGAGGTATCACTGTCCTATTTTCTGTAGCCTAAATATAACTGTACCTAAGAAGTCGTCAATGAAACGTAATATTTGGTTATATGACCAAGGCAATTATGACATTTTTAGAGAGAAACTTTCTATTGTTGATTGGGATACTGTTTTAACATATGATGATTTAGATGCCTCTGTCGATGGCTTTGCTGATATACTCATTAACACCGCTAAGGAATGTGTTCCAAACAAAGTAGTTACTATACGTAGCAGAGAACCTCCGTGGATGACCAGTGAAATTCGTAAGTTAGCTCGGAAACGTAAAAGATTATTTAGATTAGCTAAGAGATCAGGAACCATAGAGGATTGGTGTAAGTATAAAAAAATTAGGAACAAATGTGTAAATACAATACGTAATGCAAAAACTAAATATGTCCGTAAACTATGTGGAATGCTGGGTAACAATACACGTGGGAAGTCTTGGTGGAAAACGGTAGGTAAACTTATGCTTAACACCAACAAAACCTGTAATATACCACCCATTCATACACAAACTTCTATTTTTTCTGATGACATTGATAAAGCAAATGCATTTAATGAATTCTTCTGTCTCAACTCTACCGTCGATGATACTAATGCTGAACTTCCACCTACTACTAACAACGAACCTCTTCTTAGTCATATATATATAGATAGGAATGACATTATTTCTGTTCTATTAAATCTAGATTGCTCTAAGGCAGTCGGACCTGACCTAATTAATCCTAGACTCCTTAAGGAGGCAGCAATAATCTTGAGTTACCCCCTCCAAGTAATCTTCAATAACTCTTTAACTACTTCATATTTTCCTAATAATTGGAAATTAGCTAATGTTACGCCAGTGTTTAAAAAAGATAACCCTTCTCTTCTCAACAATTATCGTCCTATATCATTAATATCTATTGTCGGAAAGGTAATGGAAAGATGTGTATATAAATATCTGTATAAGTTTATTATTGAGAACTCTCTATTATCATCTTCCCAATCCGGATTCAGGGCTGGTGACTCTACAATTAATCAATTACTCGCCATTACTAATGATATATATTCGGCTTTAGATAAAGGTAAAGAAATTAGAATGGTCTCTTGTGATATCAGCAAAGCCTTCGACAGAGTATGGCATGCAGGGCTACTTTTTAAATTACATAAAATAGGCATTGGGGGGAGTTTGCATTTGTGGTTTAGAAGTTATTTAGATAACAGAAAGCAAAGAGTAGTTATAAATTGTAAAACCTCTGAGTGGAAAGTAATAAGGGCTGGTGTTCCCCAGGGGTCAATACTAGGCCCTCTACTGTTTCTAATTTTTATAAATGACATAGTTGACGACATTAACGCAATAATAAAACTATTTGCCGACGACACTTCACTTTATGCTATAGTAGATACTCCGCTTCAATGTGCAGACTTACTGAATGACAGTTTAAGGAAAATATATGCCTGGTCTGAAAAATGGTTGGTTACTTTTAACCCTGATAAAACTGAATCTCTTCTGATTAGTAGAAAACTCAATAAGCCCCATCACCCACCTTTACTTATGAATGACGTTCCTGTTAATGAGGTCAAACATCACAAACATATAGGACTCTTCTTCTCTCATGATGGTACTTGGTCTGAACATATTAACTTTATGATAAAGAAAGCCTCTAATAAACTCGCTGTTTTACGGAAATTTAAGTTCAAAATAGACAGAAACTCTCTACAAACTTTGTATTTTTCATTTATCAGACCTATTCTAGAATATGGCGATATGGTCTGGGATAACTTAACTATTCAACAATGTCAGTCTTTGGAGAATATTCAGCTTGAAGCTGCTAGAATTATGACGGGTGGGACTAAACTAACTAGTCATGCTAAGCTTTATGAGGAAACTGGGTGGGATAGTCTACAATATAGACGCAATGTTAAGAAAACAGTTCAAATACACAAAATGATTTTTGGTCTCTCTCCCCCATATCTCTCACAACTACTTCCTCAGCGCAGAACCGACGCTCATCAATATAATACACGTGATGCTGATAATCTGAGTAATGTATTTTGTAAAACTAATTTATTTAAGAAATCTTTTCTTCCTTCTTCTATCGACCTTTGGAACTCGCTACCACCACTAGTAAAAAATAACCCCTCTATAAGTAATCTGAAAAACTACCTACACAGACACTCCCGTACTGTCCCTCCTTATTATAATTTTGGGAATCGTCTTGACCAGGTTCATCACGCTAGGATAAGGATGTCCTGCAGTTCTTTAAATGCCCACCTGTTTAGTCGTAATCTTGTCGATAGTCCTTATTGCTCCTGTAGACAGTCACACGAAACTACTGAACATTTTCTTCTATTTTGTTCTAATTATACAGACATAAGAAATGGATGTTTTTTAAATTTGCCCGAAAATTACACACTCGACATGCTTTTGTACGGAGATCCAAATCTAACTATCAATGAAAATGAAAACGTTTTCCGTTGTATACAATATTTTATTTCTAAAACCAAACGTTTCGCAAATTAATAGTGCTACCTCATTGATCCCAGAGAGTTGTGTGAACTAACACATTTGCGTATGTTTAATTGATGTACAATATGTAATTATGTACAATGTAGCAACTACAGTTTAGTATCATAATGGTATTAAAACACTTCATTATCCCCCTTTCTCCCCTGCCCCCTCCTCTCTCTCTTTCTTTCACTCTCCGTCTTTCTTTCCTTCATATATTTACAAAGTTTATCACTTGTCTATTTCAAACATATTTCTTACTAAGTATGTTGTAAAGTTTTTAGTGTTGTCACCTGCTTGTCATTATTTAAGGAGACAGATTCATATAAGTATGTAATACTTTTTTCTGAATCCTTATATTAATTATGCATATTATGTATACATAAAAATGAATGAAATAAAATATGGTTTAAACTAAAAAGGAGTAAAATGGCACTTGCAAAATTATGAAATGTCTCGACATGTGTAAAGAAGTTTTTTACTTTACAGAGTTGCAATATGAAAATGGAAATGTTCCCCAACGAACGGGCTCTTCTAGGATACATGCTTGCCAAAATTCATAAGATTGACCCTGATGTTGTAGTGGTAAGGAATATTACATATACAGTGTTTAAGATCCCATGTTTACACTCTGCAGTGGTAACTTGACCATCAGATCAAATATAATTGAAAAAAATCAATTTGGAAATTTAAAATTGATAAATTTGTTGAAATAACTATGTGATTTTAAATTTCTCTTTTCTCATCCCCTTGGAAATATTAAAATTGATAAATTTGTTGAATTAACTATGTGATTTTAAATTTCTCTTTTCTCATCCCCTTGGAAATTTTAAAATTGATAAATTTGTTGAGATAACTATGTGATTTTAAATTTCTCTTTTCTCATCCCCTTGGAAATATTAAAATTGATAAATTTGTTGAAATAACTGTATGTGATTTTAAATTTCTCTTTTCTCATCCCCTTGGAAATTTTAAAATTGATAAATTTGTTGAGATAACTATGTGATTTTAAATTTCTGTTTTCTCATCCCCTTGAAATACCAATTGGGTATGCATAGAATGCCAATTTACACTAAACTGAAATTTTTGTTTGTCAAATAAGAAATATATATAAGTATAAGATGGACAAACCAAGTGTGCATAAATCTTACAATTTCCTCTAGCTTGCTAACCGGAATTTAATTGTAAATCAATTCTTAATTGATTATAACAAATCATTTATAAAAAAGACAGCACATATACCTGTATTGTAATCTGTTAGGAGAACGTCACTACGCGATCGAGATTTAGATGTTGTTTAGGACTGGAGTAATGATTTTACAGGGCCACGACATCTATGGGTTTGATCTGGACGTGTTGCTCCACAGAATCAACGCCAACAAGATTCCTCACTGGTCTAAGCTTGGCCGTCTTAAGAGGACAAAAATGCCCAAACTTTCGGTAGGTACCTGATTGATGTCTATTCTTATGGAAATCACTAATTAAGTATACCAACACAACCTATATCACTGGCAACAAATTTATCTGTGATTTTGTATTTTCCAATCCTCTTTCATATTGTGCTCAGTAGTGTCATAGGGTGTTTCTACAGATTGGCTCAAAGAGGTCTGTTAACTGTTACCTCTTTCTGTATTATGATGTCTTGAGATGTCACGAAAATGTGCCCATTTCCTTTATGACATCTTGAGATGTCACGAAACTGTGCCCCTGTTTCCTTCATGACATCTTGAGATGTCACGAAACTGTGCCCATTTCCTTTATGACATCTTGAGATGTCACGAAACTGTGCCCGTTTCCTTCATGACGTCTTCAGATGTCACGAAAGTGTGCCTCTGTTTACTTTATGACATCTTGAGATGTCACAAAAATGTGCCCGTTTCCTTCATGACATCTTGAGATGTCACGAAACTGTGCCCATTTCCTTTATGACATCTTGAGATGTCACGAAACTGTGCCCGTTTCCTTCATGACGTCTTCAGATGTCACGAAAGTGTGCCTCTGTTTACTTTATGACATCTTGAGATGTCACAAAAATGTGCCCGTTTCCTAAGATGTCACAAAACTGTGCACCTGATTCCTTTATGACATCTTGAGATGTCATGAAACACATTTGTGTTACTCCCTAGTTAGGCGTAGTCGTATGAAGGAATTGGTAGTCGTATGAAGGAATTGGTAGACGAAATGTTTATCTAATATATCGGTGTTAAACATACAATTATGGTGATAATTCTCGTGTCTTTCAAGTGTATTCATTTGTTATAACAAAATTCTCAGAAATCAGTTAAACTCTCAGGTTGTTTGCGCTGACAACAAAATGGTGAACTCGGGATTCTTCTGAGGCATTGGTGGCAAGTAAAACAAACTGTTAAAAACTAAGAAATATAAACAGCTGAGCACAGTTTATTGTCAAACAGGAATACATTTATATTGTGCACACAACAAAAAGAAGACAACAAATGAACAATCTAATGATGAAGAACTACGGCCATGCGCTCTGATATACGTAAAAGAATGACCTGAAAATCACTATCTGTAGCGACAAGTGAAATTTGAATTGGGTACGGAAACAAAAAACCAAAATTTCCACAGCAAAAAGTATGTGATCAAAATAGACAAATTATTTTCTGTAAAATCACCTGTTTCTGTGGATTTAACCAAGTAGATAGAAAGCTTGCAACAACAAAATCATATATGCAACTTTTTCGTTGCTTGTTACAAAAAAAACCAACAAGATCACCAGATATGATGTCCTCTTTATCTGCAGTGGTCTGTACTATTCACAGTCAATCAAAAGTTCTAGTTTGAAAATCATGATATTATTTGAGTGGAAAGAGAGCATATTGCAAAAGTATAAAATGGGTTTTGACATGAAATGGGTTATTAATTACCAGTAATTCTAATGCCTTCTCTACACTTGTAGACTCATCCTGGAGGGCGTGGAATCACCGACAAATATATCACCTGTGGCCGTCTCTTGTGCGATGTTAAGATCTCTTCTAGAGAGCTCATTCGCAGTCGAAGCTACGATCTCACTGAGCTTGCAAATGTGATACTTAAACAAAAACGTATGGAGCTTGACTACGAACAAGTGAAAAATATGTACCAGTAAGTAACAGCTTTGAAATGATGATGATCAAGATAAGCGATTCCTGGAAAGGACGTGAAAAGGTACGAAGGTCACCTGCCTGACCTTGTAGATACTCTAGTTGTCTCCCACAGAAAGACCTAACGCCCACTTCCATTTGGGCCAACTAGAGTGATTAAGTATAAAATTAAAGCTTGTTCTACAAATGTTGTACAATCAATACAGTTTAGGTACATTGGGAACAGAACCCTGCACACACTTTCCATGCTTTGAAGAATTTTTTATTTACAGCAACTATATACATGTTTTCTTTGTATTCCAGGACAACAAAACACTTGCTACAGTTGGTGGAACTGACCCTAGTTGACTCTACGTTAATTCTGGGGATAATGTACGAACTGAATGTCCTGCCTTTGGCTCTGCAAATCACAAACATCTGTGGAAATGTAATGGTATGTGTCTTTAAATTCCTGGCAGATTTTCAAGCTGTGAATAGAAGTAAATACTTCTGTGATGTAGTGGTGTTGTAGTTTTTTATGCTGCTCAAAATGTGTAGATGGCTTTTCAATACAAATATTCAAACTGAAGAGTTGAAGGTAATAATGGTGAAGTTTCTGTAGAATATCTCCAATAGAGATACTGCTGACATTTTGATCAGGTTTAGAATCTTTGTCATTCTAACAGTAAGAAAGTTGTGTTACTCTGTACAATATTGTCAGTAAAGTATTGAGGTTATATAGTCATTATTGATTAAATATTTCACCTATCCATTGTATGTCCTGGTCAATTATATAATATCAAACCTGTCTTAGATCAGTTAATCTCAATCACAACTGTATAATGTAACTGATCTGTTTTTAATGGTAAAGCCACAGATAATATAATATCATAAATCAAGTTACACATATAGTCAAGTAATAAATCAAGTTTCATATTATATAGTCAAGTTACAAATCAAGTTAATATTATATAGTCAAGTTACAAATCAAGTTAATATTATATAGTCAAGTTACAAATCAAGTTACACATTATATAGTCAAGTTACACATTATATAGTCAAGTTACAAATCAAGTTAATATTATATAGTCAAGTTACAAATCAAGTTACACATATAGTCAAGTTACAAATCAAGTTACATATTATATAGTCAAGTTACAAATCAAGTTAATATTATATAGTCAAGTTACAAATCAAGTTACACATTATATAGTCAAGTTACAAATCAAGTTACACATTATATAGTCAAGTTACAAATCAAGTTACACATTATATAGTCAAGTTACAAATCAAGTTAATATTATATAGTCAAGTTACAAATCAAGTTACACATATAGTCAAGTTACAAATCAAGTTACACATATAGTCAAGTTACAAATCAAGTTACACATTATATAGTCAAGATACAAATCAAGTTAATATTATATAGTCAAGTTACAAATCAAGTTACACATTATATAGTCAAGTTACAAATCAAGTTACACATTATATAGTCAAGTTACAAATCAAGTTAATATTATATAGTCAAGTTACAAATCAAGTTACACATTATATAGTCAAGTTACAAATCAAGTTACACATTATATAGTCATGTTATTAATGAAGTATGACTTAGGGAAGTTTGACTGTTTAGACAAGAACACTGATGGGAGGAAGATCAGAGAGGAATGAATATCTACTACTTCATGCCTTCACAGAGAAAAACTTCATTGTCCCGGATAAAGAGTACAAGAAAAAAGTTGCTACAGTAAGTGTTCAGTCGATTACATTTTAACCTGCCTTGTAATACACCATGTCTTAAATAGTGTAACACAGTGATAACACAGATAATGACGTTATAGTGATGTTTATAAAAGATGATTCACGAGGAAGTGTCCTGTTCAGCTCATTAATCAGTTTTTGTATATGCTGTTTTCACTAATTTTCTAATAAAGATGAAATATGTTATAAATAGAATCTTGCAACTGGGGTACATTTCATTTTATTATCAAGTAGGTGAAGTATCTTTCTACTAAAAATCACTTATATTTCATGTGGGATTTATTTTCACGTTTATATACAAGGAGAGTCGGTTGCAAATTTAAATCTGTCTCGATTATCTGTACACAAATAATTCTGGATGGCATCCATAATAGTTTGGTTACCGGTACCAAAGTCTTGAAGAGTCTGTACCTCTAATAACTCGTCATTTGTGAATTTAAAGTCATTTCTAGATCAGCATTCACAAAATCACGTATTTACGAATATGTCTGAAGATGTAAATTTGTAGAATAAAATATCCTGGAGTATAACAGATTTACAGTAGATTAGATCCTGAAGTTCCTGAGGTATATATGTCTAGGATTGTACAACTGAAGACATAAACATATCAATTCTACTAGGCAACAGTGGAGGAGGAAGATGGCGAAGAGAAGGCTCCAACAAAGGGACGCCGAAAGCCAGCATACGCAGGTGGCCTGGTGTTGGAACCTAAACGAGGTATGTTATCTAGATTTACAGGTATAGTTCTGGAATCCAAGGGACGTATGGAGTAAACATTCAAATGTAGTTTGTAATCTGGATCCCAGAATCTATGATATCCTTACCTAGTATCACACAGGTTGTAGTGATGTCCTCAAGTAATATGTATCACACAGGTTGTAGAGATGTCCTCAGGTAGTATGTATCACACAGGTTGTAGTGATGTCCTCAGGTAGTACGTATCACACAGGTTGTAGTGATGTCCTCAGGTAGTACGTATCACACAGGTTGTAGTGATGTCCTCAGGTAGTACGTATCACACAGGTTGTAGTGATGGTCTATCATGTCCTCAGGTAGTACGTATCACACAGGTTGTAGTGATGGTCTATCATGTCCTTAGGTAGTATATATCACACAGGTTGTAGTGATGTAAGTCCTGGTCTTACTTAAGCTGGCACACTTGGTTTTATAGGTTTTTACGACAAGTTCATCCTACTTCTGGATTTCAACAGTTTGTACCCCTCTATCATCCAGGAGTATAACATCTGTTTCACGACTGTGAAACGCTTGGACAAGGAAAGACAGAAAAATGTAAGTACATTCTTGAAATTTGTGTCTCTTGTATATTCAACTATTCAGTGTGAATGTATGACTCCTAACAGACTTGTCAATCAGTTCATAATTCTTTGTAGATCAGAGACTAGGACAAATATCATAATGATGTTTATTATTCTCTGTGGCTGATTATTCATTAGCTGTAAACAGAGACTAGACCATGATGTTTATTATTCTCTGTGGCTGATTATTCATTAGCTGTAAACAGAGACTAGACCATGATGTTTATTATTCTCTGTGGCTGATTATTCATTAGCTGTAAACAGAGACTAGACCATGATGTTTATTATTCTCTGTGGCTGATTATTCATTAGATGTAAACAGAGACTAGACCATGATGTTTATTATTCTCTGTGGCTGATTATTCATTAGCTGTAAACAGAGACTAGACCATGATGTTTATTATTCTCTGTGGCTGATTATTCATTAGATGTAAACAGAGACTAGACCATGATGTTTATTATTCTCTGTGGCTGATTATTCATTAGATGTAAACAGAGACTAGACTATGATGTTTATTATTCTCTGTGGCTGATTATTCATTAGATGTAAACAGAGACTAGACCATGATGTTTATTATTCTCTGTGGCTGATTATTCATTAGCTGTAAACAGAGACTAGACCATGATGTTTATTATTCTCTGTGCCATGTTGCATGTAATGGTTGCTTAACTGTACATCTATATATCACCTGTATTAGAGTGATAAATACAGTAAGTGTGATACAAGTCAATTTCAATGTCTGTAAGTTACAATTTTCCATGTACAGCATATTTCGATGACACTTATCAGACGTAACAGTACCTTAGGTGATTTATTTCCAGTTTCAATTTCACTTGTGTGAATCAATTTTGTCTTAAGGTGACCCTTGCTGTTACTTGAATTCCCCAAATTTCACAAATTATTCTTACTTATCATCTCGACCAGTATGAGTTGTGCCGTAATGACTTTTGATGTTAGCCATATACAGAGATCATAACGGCGATTGATCTTTTGAACATCACCTAACTTACAGGAAGGAGAAGATGATATGTTTGCTGAGTTACCAGAACCAGACCTGGAACCAGGTATCCTTCCAACAGAGATTAGAAAATTGGTCGAGAGCAGACGACAAGTGAAACAGTTAATGAAAGGCGACATTTCTCACGATCAGTATACACAGGTAAAGGATGATTGCCTATCAGCCATGATACACAGAAGTTAGAAAGCAGTTCACTTGTCACAGAGAGATTTTGAACCATGATATACACTATTTAGAAAGTAGTTAAATTTTCACAGAGAGATTTTGTTTCGTTAAGCATCTAAATTTTATGCCATTTAGAAATTTCAGTTCAGACTAAATATTCACAATGCTTTTTCTGTGATTGGTCAAATCAAGTATTTTCGACATCTGATTTAGATAAAGATGATGATGATTAAAATCAGAAATGCACTCCTAAGTCCTTATGATTCTAGGTAAGACTACCTCTGAGTGTAAATTATCAGATAAGATTCTATGTCCTGAAAATTGACATTGAGTAAGATGTGATCTTTTCCAGTATGATATCCGTCAGAAGGCCCTGAAATTAACAGCCAACAGTATGTATGGCTGTCTAGGCTTCACATTCTCAAGGTTCTACGCAAAACCTCTGGCAGCTCTCATTACAGGAAAAGGACGAGAAGTAAGTAGAATTAACAACACATCAGTTCATCAGCCATTGCTGGGAGTCATCAATTTGTGTTTCTAATTGTCGCCTTACATCTCTGAGTACTTTGAGTCATCAATTTGTGTTTCTAATTGTCGCCTTACATCTCTGAGTACTTTGAGTCATCAATTTGTGTTTCTAATTGTCGCCTTACATCTCTTTGAGTACTTTGAGTCTCTATTGTTGCTGTGAGTTCACAGGGAATTAATTAAGACCGGAGGCAAACTCCAAGCATCTTCTTCTTTTTTTTTTTTTTTTGTCTTCTAATTCGTGTTTCTTGTTAACAAGGGAGACAAATAAGAACAATAAGATTTACAATTACCTCCCTTACTTCAATATACAAATACAAATGTTACTCTTGTGAAAAAATTATATTATAAATTAAATATATATACATCATCTCCTCATGTCTCTTATTACTGCAAGTCATCCCCTTACATCTTTAGGTCCTGTGAGTCCTTCCCATACATCTGTAAGAAGGTCATCCGTTCACATCTATAAGTACTGTAAATCATTGCCATTGTCTGCCTGTATTTAGTTCACCTTACAAAGTAACCACATTCTTGATACTGTCTGATGCTTACAATGATAATCTTGCTTTTTTACAGATTCTGATGAAAACCAAGGATTTAGTTCAAGGAGTGAGATAATATTTTTTAGCTATGAAATTTAAATTCAGTGATAAATTAATACAATAATATACAAAAAATTGTATGTTAATATACTAGTCAATAATTCTGTTTTATGTTCAGTATTGGATTTCGAAGAAAATTGTATATCATATTACTACTTTATGTCTTCCAAAGAACACATTTTACTCACTATTGACAGAAATAAAATTCCTGTCCATGTAACAGGGTTATTAAAATCTGATGCTCCACCAGACATTATTATGAAGATAACTAATGCTAAAATGTTCTGGTTGACAGATGAACCTAGACGTGATCTATGGTGACACAGATTCCATTATGGTTAACACCAACTGTACAGATCTGGATGTGGTGTTTAAACTTGGCAACAAGGTACTGGATCAATGATAAGGGCTGTTCCAGAATTAGATGTAGGGGTAAGGGGGATGTCAGAAGGCAGAAGGTTTTATCCTGACCACCCACACAGTTTGTCTATAACTATTATCATACTTTCCTGCAAGTCTATGTCATGATTTCCACCTGACTGTTGAAATGGTGTTTTGTCTATAACTATTGTCATACTTTCCTATCATGATATCCACCTGCCTTCAAGCCCAGCTGTATACAGCTATTACAGAAGTTCTATATTTATGATTCTAGAATTACTTTTATGAAAGATCATTCTCATCTTGTACAAGTGAAGGGACACATTAATGTTTTTATACACCGCCAGAGGCGGTCGTATATTGGCGTCATCTTCTCCGTCTGTCCGTCCATACCTCCACTTCTTGTAAACCCAACTCCTCCTAAAATAATCATCAGATTTTCACGAAACTTGCTCAGTGTCACTACTACAATGTGTGGATGTGCTGAAAATGGCGATTTTATGGTTCATTGAATTTTGTAAGATTTATGCCATTTTCAACTTTGTGTCTGTAGCTTGCTCATAGTGGAGCCTTGTGGATGTAAATCCTCCTAAACTGATGATCAGATTTTCACAAAAAATTGCTCAATGTCACTACTACAATGGGTGGATGTGCTGGAAATGGCGATTTTACGGTTCATGGATTTCTGTAAGATTAATGACATTTTCAACTTTTTCTCTGTTGCTGATTTTGTGGTGGCGTATATTGTGTCCACGGCACTCTTGTTGAACATTTTAAATCAATTATACAGATGGAAAAGATGTTTCTCTTCCAGGTGGTCAGTTTTGATTTTAAGATATTTGAAACTGATTGATATATTTAGACCTTGACTTTAGCCGATATTTCTTTTTGACCTTTACTATGGCTGATATTTCTTTTTGACCTTTACTATGGCTGATATTTCTGTTTGACCTTTACTATGGCTGATATTTCTGTTTGACCTTTACTATGACTGATATTTCTGTTTGACCTTTACTATGGCTGATATTTCTGTTTGACCTTTACTATGGCTGGTATTTCAGTTTGACCTTGACTATGGCCAATATTTGTTTGACCTTTACTATGACCAATATTTCTGTTTGACCTTGACTATGGCCAGTATTTCTGTTTGACCTTGACTATGACCAATATTTCTGTTTGACCTTGACTATGGCTGATATTTCTGTTTGACCTTGACTATGGCCAATATTTCGGTTTGACCTTGACTGGCCAATATTTCTGTTTGACCTTGACTATGACCAGTATTTCTGTTTGGCCTTTACTATGGCTGGTATTTCTGTTTTACCTTGACTAGGGCCAATATTTGTTTGACCTTGACTATGGCCAATATTTGTTTGACCTTGACTATGGCCAATATTTCTGTTTGACCTTGACTATGACCAATATTTCTGTTTGACCTTGACTATGACCAATATTTCTGTTTGACCTTGACTATGGCTGATATTTCTGTTTGACCTTGACTATGGCTGGTATTTCTATTTGACAGGGGCTAGCTTTATTACTTTTTAACTGACTTTCTAACTGTGATAATATTTGTACATATGATGGAAAAAGACTCGACAAACCAGTCTTTATTGATAACTAGATGCAGTTGAGGTTGGGAAATTATCAAATGACCTATCTAATGACCTTTTGTACAGGTGAAAGGTGAGGTAAACAAACTTTACCGGCTTCTAGAAATCGACATAGATGGCGTTTTCCAGTCCATGCTTCTCCTCAAAAAGAAAAAATATGCAGCATTAAATGTGACCAAGGGTGGAGACGGTAAATATACAACACATCGAGAACTGAAAGGTCTGGATATCGTGAGACGGGACTGGTCAGACTTGGCGAAGGAAGCGGGAAAGTGAGTAGAGCTTATGTCTTTAGAAGAATGAGTCTAAAAGCATTGAGAGTGAAATATCAGGAATTTTGTTGTAAGAATTTTTCAGTATCTCTTCAAAAATGAAAGATAAAGATTCTCTCATGAAAGTGAATATGTTAGTGCATTAATGTTTGTCTGAAGTATCTTAAAGAAATCCAACTTTTGTTGATAATCATTTGTAGCTTACCTGGCCCGAAGGTACCAAGGGAACAAATGTTTTGATAATTAGCTGGTATGTTCCGAGGATGAAGTCTGATAAAGTTTGCGAAAAGAAAATACCTTTGGTTAAACCTTTAAATGATTTCTTATGAACTAAAAGGCTTAAAGGAAAGATATTTGGCTGGTATATTCCTAGGATGAAGCCCAACAAAGTTTGTTAAGAGCAATGACCTTGACCTATGTTCAAGGCCACAGGGGTCAAATTTTTAAAAACATTTAAATGGCATTTTATGAATTAAAGGGAAAAGAGGCATGATATTTGATTGATATATATATATATATACCAGGTGAGTGCATTAGTGCTTTCATTATTCATTTTCAGATGCTCAACAATAAATACATTGTTTAATATGTATACATATTGTGTTTCAGCTTTGTTGTTGATCAGATCCTTTCTGGCGAGTCCAAAGAAACAGTTGTGGAGAATATTCACAACAAATTGATGGAAGTTGGAGAGAAGGTGAAGGACAACCAGTTACCAGTCGGACTTTTCTACATAACAAAGGTACAAGTTAATGATTCAGAAAAAATGGTCCAACTCCAGGATACTTTTCTACATAACAAAAGTACTAGTTAATGATTCAGAAATAATGGTCCACCTCCAGGATACTTTTCTACATAACAAAAGTACAAGTTAATGATTCAGAAATAATGGTCCACCTCCAGGATACTTTTCTGCATAACAAAGGTACAAGTTAATGATTCAGAAATAATGGTCCACCTCCAGGATACTTTTCTACATGACAAAAGTACAAGTTAATGATTCAGAAATAATGGTCCACCTCCAGGATACTTTTCTACATAACAAAAGTACAAGTTAATGATTCAGAAATAATGGTCCACCTCCAGGATACTTTTCTACATAACAAAGGTACTAGTTAATGATTCAGAAATAATGGTCCACCTCCAGGATACTTTTCTACATAACAAAAGTACAAGTTAATGATTCAGAAATAATGGTCCACCTCCAGGATAATTTTCTACATAACAAAGGTACTAGTTAATGATTCAGAAATAATGGTCCACCTCCGGGATACTTTTCTACATAAAAAAGGTACAAGTTAATGATTCAGAAATAATTACTAATAGTCCACATCCGGGATACTCTCTTGTTCTCTAGAACAGAATTAGGATGAAATCTTACAGCCTTTTCAGAGTTACTGTATTTCTACAAGAAATAGAGATTTACTTAAATGGAGTTAAAGTTACTATTTGTCATAAGTAAAATGTAACACTTCCTGGTAGTGTTTTGTGGACAAGGGAACTAGTTTTGGAATCTTGAGGGGTTGAGGGGAAAGAATAAAATAAACATTGCTAACTTATCTCATGATTTGCCTTATTGATATCAGGCATTAACAAAAAACCCAGAAGACTATCCAGACAAGAAAAGTCTACCTCATGTGCAGGTGGCCATGAGATTCAATAGCAAGGGAGGCAAGAAGATGAGGGCTGGAGACACCGTACCATATATCATCTGTCAGGTAACATATTACTTGTCAAAGTAAAGCCTGAATTTATACCCCCATTATAAAGTTATATAACAAAATAATACCTGATGTGGAGGAGGGGATAATGTGTACCTACCCTCACTTCCTAGATTTTCTCTGCCACTCTACATTATACATTGTGCTGGTGGTCAGAGTTATTTCCCATTATTCACCTTTCATATTTACAGGATGGTTCCACTTTGGCAGCTTCACAGCGAGCCTATCATCCCGAGGAACTGGCAAAAAGTGACACACTTACAGTTGGTAAGTATTTTATAATATCTTCTTCTCTAATTGAATGTTAGTTGATTAATATAAGTCAAATCTTACTTCTATTATAGTGAGACAATTGATTTAAAGATACCATACTTTAATCGTTTGTAATAAAGGACCACATTGAGATGTTCTGTTGTGTCTATACTGAGTTTTCTCTCAGCCATGTTTGAACTTTTTGAGTCCTTGTCTACTTGATGTATATATTTGTATAAAGAAATGCTAAAATTCTATTTATATGTCTCTATTCAGATGCCAAGTATTATCTGGCCCACCAAGTTCATCCTGTAGTATCCCGCCTCTGTGACCCTATAGAGGGTACAGATGCTGCCCATCTGGCTGAATGTCTAGGTAAGTCGTCTCAAACTTTTCTCTGTGAGCAACTTTTTAGAGGATGAAATATCGAGTTCAAAAGTCGTGTATCTCCCCACAGTGATTTTTCAGCCCTATTCCATTGCTGGAGTGTTTTTCTTACCTCAAAAATGTGAATTTTCTCAAAATGACAGGAAACCCTTACATATCTCCTCACTTGAAGAATAACATTACATTTTTCTCCAATCATGTAGGCATGGTGCCTGTAAAGTTTAGGTATGTTAACCTTGGCACATTTCAGGAGAAATTGTACATAGCTTTCAGTGTAGAGTGCTGCTGGAGAGAAGGCTGATGTTTTGTTGGTTTAAACCTGTTTTCTTTCTGTAAAATCTTCGTTATTCTGTGTATCCTGTTCTGACTGTAGGACTAGACCCATCAGGATATAAGCACACAAGTCGTACTCAGGACGAGGAGGAAGAAGATGCCTTACTGGGGGGTACAGATGTGTCCGATGAGGAAAAGTTCAAGGATTGTGACCGCTTCAAGTTTAAATGTCTGAATATAAACTGTGGGCGAGAAATCATCTTTGATAGTGTGTTTACTGGAGCGGTAAGATATTAGGATTTCTGCTTGAGAACCAGGATCATATTTCCTCAAATTGTGGTTTTAAACTTCAGATAAAAGATTTTGTATAACCATGATACTTTAGGATATTTTGTCTCTCCAGTGATGAAAAGATGGAGAAGCAAGAAAATTTCATTACTTTTCTAGCATCAGTGTCATCAACATTTCACTTCAGAGTCTATGTCCACCTCTAATTAATCTTTGTGTATAGTTAGACCACATAGTGAGCACCTCAACACATCCATCATTTACAAAATATCTGCTTGATTTTATGGTCCAGCAACTCTTAAAATTATTGATGTTGAGAAGCTGGACTTGGAATTCTTGGAATTTAGAAGTGTGATTTCAATCACACCTGAAATATAGTAACATTGTATGGGCATCTGAACACACAAATAGATTACATGAATTTATTTCTGATGTGTTTTATAATAGACAAAGAGATGTTGAGAAATGACTACAGAATCTTCATTACTTGTTGTATTCTCGTTGGATTTAGTTTAGGGTCATATGGACAGAAGTGCTGTAAAATATTTCTTCCTCCTCCCTCATTAGGAGTGATATTTTTGGAGGTAAAAAAGTCATATTTGAGTGAATTCATTACATGTTTTACAATGCATTAATATTTAGACATGACACCAACATAGTAAAGTTGGATGTGTTACGTTTGTGTGCTGTCTGTCCACCACACACATGGTCCTCAATACAGTATTACTGTAAATATAAGTGTATAATGCACACTTTTTTTAAAGGAAAGTTTTGTTTTTTCAAAAACGTGGTTTGCATTATACACAAGAACAAAAGCTCATGCTCAGATTTTGGCCTTATATGCCAATGCTTTCACATATGAAAGACAATTTTGTGTCTGATGCTCTCAAAGCATTAAGACTTAAAGGTAAAATCTTTCCATGTATAATGTGTAAATGGAACAATGCAGATATTTACAAAAACATCTACAGTCAGATTGTAGCACTGCATCACTAAGTCAGTAAAATATACATGTATTCTATCTGGTTTCGTCAGTAGATTTTCCTGATCTCAGATATTCATTGTGCATATTCAGAAACAGAGTTTGCGATTGCTTGTTCTATTTCGGAAACCCCAAACATTTGGGAGGTATGACTGCAGCATAATGGCTTGATTAAAAGGATGCATATTGAGTCGTTAACCGTTACAATTACATTGTTGTTGTCATGGTGTTGGGAAATGTTGCTCGGTCATTTTAAATCACAACAGTGATATCATTGTTGTTGTCATGGTGTTGTGAAATGTTGCTGGGTCATTTTGTATCACAACAGTGACATTATTGTTGTTGTCATGGTGTTGTGAAATGTTGCTGGGTCATTTTGTATCACAACAGTGACATTGTTGTCATGGTGTTGTGAAATGTTGCTGGGTCATTTTAAATCACAACAGTGATATCATTGTTGTTGTCATGGTGTTGGGAAATGTTGCTGGGTCATTTTGTATCACAACAGTGACATTGTTGTCATGGTGTTGTGAAATGTTGCTCGGTCATTTTAAATCACAACAGCGACATCATTATTAAGTGTCTGTATCTCTGATTATGATGGAGGCAATATCTAATTTTCACAGGATTTTCAGATTCGTTTGGACATAACTCACAGTGTGAATATATGGTATACATGAATACTTTTGCCAGTAGGATGAAATTTCAAAGAGAGATAGTAATTTGCCAGTTATTTTAGTTCCAGTAGTCATTTGTATCACTTCTGATAAAATCATATTGGTGTTTTGTTTTGTTAGGAACAGGAAATTGATTGTTCTCTCGCCAAGTGTCCGAACCCTCAGTGTAAAAACTCGCCAAATGAGAGTGTGCCACAGATAGCCAACCAGCTGGTTAACACCATACGCAAACACATCCGTAAATATTACGAGGTAAAGAGATACATGATGGCTATTAAATTTTCATTTACATTTTCATTGATGATTGTTTGAATGTATTATCTCCCTTTATAAAAGGCTTGCAGTTCAAGTGTAAACATTTTAGTAACATTTCATACATACAACATTGTGTCTCAGGCCAAGCTCACATTTTTTTATGATCTACATACAATGCAGACTATCATAGATTTTATCAGTTTTATGAGGCCATCTTTAGAAATTAAGAAATTAATTTCTAATTAAAATGACAATATGTGATATTTTTTCTAAATTAAAAACAGAATTAAACAAAGCTTTCAAAAACTATTTAGGTACTCTGAGTACACATTTTATGCAGACTTTGTTGCATGCAAAATAAGATAATTTTCTGAGGTAGTGCAGATTACATTAAGAATATATTTCAGACTTTGTTTTATATGATTAGTCCCTGATTTCAAAGTTGACCATATTTTAATCAGTTGATCACTACAACATGATGCATGTTAATAGCTGTTTCACGACTTCAGGGTTGGTTGAAATGCGATGACACAACATGTGGTCATGTGACGCGGAGACTTCCACTGATCTTCCAGAGAAGCCATCCAGTCTGTCCTGCTTGTCAAAAAGGACATTTGAATACATGTGTATGTATATCATGTTGTTTGTATATATGTTGATGAGATGGTTACAATACCTACTACAACATACAAATAAACATATTGTGTTGACTTCATAATACAGTATATTTAATTTGTTATCATACAGGAGTTCTACATATCAAGATTTACTGTAAGTGTACAAAATATCCCGAGGGGCTGGTTGAAGCATGTGTGATAGGAATATCTCTCAAGTTTTTTGTTTAAGTAAAGCTATTTGTTGAATGACATTGTAGTTTTTATTCAAATCTAAACACTGTATGTTGCTGTTTACTGGGATGTATATGAAATCGTGGTGTTTTTTTTATGTTCAGTATACAGACTCCATGTTATACAACCAGTTATGTTTCTACCAGCATGTGTTTGACATCGACAAGGCAAGGAACCAACTATCTGATAGAGAGAGAGGTAAGTTTTCTAAATAGGTAAATCCTAGATGTTTCAATGGAACAGCTTAAAGCCCCAATATACGTAAAATCACTATAAAAAAAACCAAACTTTATCTTATTTTCCCCGTAATATATGTACCAAAACAAATACTTTCCTTTAATTAAAGAAAATAAAACTGACTGTTTTCAATTTAAATAAAAATTGAAAAAATCGGAAAATAAACAATGTGGGACCCACAATAATTCATACATTGTGTGTGTAAACATGGCAAACACAGTACAGACGTTCACCAGTCGCTTACTTTTTTTCCAATCATACATCAGGCCAGTTCTGAATTCTTACGTTATAATTGTGCGTCGTATCATTTCTAAACTAAATATTCCTTCTAATAATTTCCCAAAAACTGAATGTTTATCACAAGAATATCTCAAGTCTACGACAAGACTTCGCAAACAATGTTTGTAAACAAAAACTTACCGTAGACATATCTGCATGTGCTTTCACTATAAGTAGAAACCTCAACTCTCGCGAGATCAGGTCACGAACTTTCCGACGTGGTTCGGCAACAATCGTAATTTCAATGGCGCTGTGTTTAAAATGGAGGTGTGTTTACAAATAGCGAGTTTCAACTGCTCATATATCAATACTTTATGCAGAAAGTCATGGTAACTATTGTTTGAATAACTTAATTTTAACTACATCTTAGAGAATATCTCAATAATTATGTGTGATTCTACACTAAATTTTTGGTGAATGTTACGTATACTGGGGCTTTAACATATTCAGATATAGTTAGCTGCTGTATTACCAATGGTCGGGCAATGTAGTGTCTGAATTCAGTTTCTGGGGCACACTCTCATCCAAAGCTGGGTCCTAACAGATCATATAGAATTAACATTTTTAGCCAAACATGATAAGATGGCAGGATATTCAAATCATCCTTTATATGGAGGTTCCTCTTGATCTCTACTTGTGCCATTTTGATTTTGGGACAAAACAGAAAAGCAGAATAGTCGACAGGTGACCATCTTGGATTTTGACAATGAAACTTTGTCATCTTTATATCTAGAAAAGGATAGGATGAATCGTTCTTATAGTAAGCTGACTTGGCCCTTAAGACCAAGTGAACTTATGGGATACTGCAGTGTCTGTTCGGACATCCTTCAACTGGTTCCTTTGAATCACTGCTTGTCATGAATGTCTCGGCTGATTTTGACCAATTTGGTCTCAAGCATCATTGAGGGAAAGGAAACAAATTTTGCATCAGTGGTTGGTCGGGGGGCAATTAGCAAAAATAGAGCGAATTCTTTAAAATCCTACTTCTGTAAAAAAGTCTGGATTTCACCCAAATTTGATCTGGAGCATTCTTTGGTAAAGTGAAATCAGTTTTGTATAATAAATCTCGGTGCCTGGCCCAACAGTGGAAAGAGAGCAAATTCTTCAGTCCTTTTCCTCCTTGGGTGAAGGGAAATCTGTTTTGTATAAACTTTGGGTCTCTACCCCCTGGGCTGGGAGTTGAGGTGCGGGGCCAAGTAGGGCAAATTCTTTAAAATCGTTGGTCTGTGGGAATGCCTTGATTCTGTCCCAGTTGGTTGTGAAGCAGGCTTGTTTTGTATAACCAATACATCTTGTCTTCGTGGGTCTAATAGGGGAAAATAGAGGTAAATCTTCTAAATGCTTTTCAGTTAGTTTAGATGGGCCAATCAGCAGCCTTTGTGAATTTGGACAATGAAACATTGTTCATCATCATAACTTGAGAATTGGATGGATTGTTCTCAAATTATATGTTCCTAGTTGTGTTGTTTTGATGTTGGGACTAATCAAAATAACAAAATGGACGATAGGTGGCTGTCATGGATTTTCACTGTGAAAGTTTGTTGTCACTGTCTTCAGGAATACTGGATGGATCTTCTCAAATCACGTGTGTAGGTTTTTGTATTCTTTTGACTTTGGGACTGAAAAAGAATTGCAGACATTCTAGTGTACTTGACTGCTGTCCTCTCGTAATTTTCAAATTTCTTGTACTTTTTAAGCAAAAACTGAGAAAAGAAGGGAAAATATCCCAACTCTTAAAGAACTGATATAGAGATCAAACCATGGTAGATAGAGATCAAACCATGGTAGATATAGAGATCAGACCATGGTAGATATAGAGATCAGACCATGGTAGATATAGAGATCAGACCATGGTAGATAAAGAGATCAAACCATGGTAGGCACCAAGATCTCTCTGGGATACTGTTTAATATAAGTTTAATGTTGTCCCTTTGTAAAAACAAACCAATGGAAAAATGTGTTACAAACAAAATTCAGCTCAAGCATAAAAATGTGGTTTTCCTGAAAGTGTGATTCGTATGTGCTTTTTCCTGATATTTTGAGATTTCTAAGTTTCTTCTTTTTTCTGGTTTCAGAATTTGCGAACATCAAGTCTCAGGAATTTGTTTCAAATTATAACAAGCTGAAGGATGTGTCATCACGATGGTTGAAACAGAATTCTTATTCCGATGTGAATCTTGACTCGTTATTTGAAGGACTCTATGTACAAAAGAAAACTATTCCTAGTTAATCAAGTTTTATGTTGTTATGAGGAACGAGACGGACTTGAAGATATTAAGACTTTAATTGAAGATTTCAACAGTCATTGAGACAGAAAAACCTTCATATTGAGAAGAAAAAAAAAGGCGAAAGGAATCGTTTTAAAGATATAATTTTAATATATGTGCTACAGTGATGGCTCAGTGTTGGAATTATGGGAAACCATAGCATTAGTAATAGATATGTGTTGATGATATTGAGTGTTAAGTTTGCTTTAACTCCAGATATATTAAAAGTGGAATTGTACCAATTACTGAAATAGAAGTCCTTTATACTACCAAGTACTTTTTACTGTAGTAAGCCCCTGGCATACCAAGTGTTTGGTAACTGTAGAATCTTTTCTCAGGGGTTGATATAACCTTATCTCACCAAAAAGGATGAATTCATTACCTTTCCCTCTCCTTCAACAAATCTGGCATTTGCCTTGTCGATCTGACAGATTCCAGTGCACAATGCAGTCGCTGTTTGATGCATGAACTTAAGAATTGGTATGTTGGTGCAAGGAGGTGCTGCGACATATACCAAACTAAGGTCATCACGACCTTTGGTTTCAGAACAGACCTTCCAACAGCACTTTCTTACAACACTTTGTCCTTATGTGCATGATTTTGAAATTTTTTTATTTTTTATTTTTTTTTTTTTTTTTTTTGACATATCTTAACCACTCTTTCAGACTCCCTGTTTGTGCCCTGAACTAACTGTTTAACTATTGATATGGAGACAATATAGTTTGAATATAATTCAAAACATAGTTTTGACCCATTCAATCAAGAATATGTTCACATCATATTTCAGTGATAAAATTAAATTCAAGAAGCTCATTTTTTCAGTGGTTCAGAAAAACTTGCCCTTCAATTTACTTATGGAGCTTAGACACCAACTAAGTATTGTTAGGACTGGTATCGATTCGGATGTAACTACAACAAACAATGGCCACTGGTATATATTGCAAATAGTTTTATGTTCAAAATTATTTTTATGCTACTTTTACAAGAAGAATGGTTGGTTGTCTGATGCACCGTAACTTCCTGCGTATTGCCTTGGGGATATACAATTTAAAACATATAGGAATACCTTCTGCTAGCTATCTGACAAAATGTTTGAAAAAAAAAAAAATCTGTGGGCTATACAATACTTTTAAAATCTAAGCTTGTACAATCTCATTTATAGACAAAAACCAAAATTACACAAATCTAATCATTTAGTTATCAAACATCGTACATTTGAACATATAGGTCGCAATCTATACCTAAACCAGCTCATTAACTGTGAGAGCTTTCTGTCACCTGACAATAGCATAGTAAACATACAGTGGGGGATTCCCCTGATAATGTGCTTGTATCTGAAATCCACTATAGACATTATGGCTTGTGGAGGCAATCTGGAGGAACAGGCAATACACAGGAAATTACAGTAATTGTAAAAAAAAAAAAGATTAAAATATAGATTTGTATCATAGACAAAATGTAAATTATAATGAAATGTATTTATGTACATGTGATATCAACTGTTCAATGATTTATATACTAGAGTAAATAATACTGAAACTCCCATTACTGTATTGGTTATGTTTATACCTATATGAAACAACCTTACACAATTACTATGACTCGGTGCTCATTGGTTATTGAAAACAAGTTTCAGTTACTTAACATACTTGACCCAATGATGGTCAAGATCATTAGTTTGAATCAACTGGTATCCTTGCCTCCTTGCCTCCCAGCATGCCACAGGCCCAGTGTCGTGGGCCTTTCACTTATTAGCTCACACGGCCTGAAGAGACAAGACAGCTTATGCTGTGGAGCAGCATACATTGTCGTGTCAGGTTTTTCCTTTAAACAACTTCTTCCCAGTAACCAATGGAATAAATGTTTTGATATTTGGCTGGTATGTTCCCAGGATGAAGCCTGACAAAGTTTATGAAATGAGATGACTCACAAGGGTCAAATTTGTTAAAAACCTTAAGCAACTTCTCCTGAACTTATAGGTCTAGAGGCATGATACTCAGCTGGTATATTCCTGGGACGAAACCTGACGAAGTTTGCAAAAAGAAATGACCTTCACTTATATTTAAGGTCACAGGGACCAAATTTGTTAAAATCTTTAATCAACTTCTACTCGTCAACTAATAGGTCTAGAGGCATATTTTGCTGGTATATATATATATATATATATATACCAGGTGAGCACTGCAGGCCCATTTGGCCTCTTTTTGAGAAGTTATTTGAAGACTTCTGTGTTCTTGAAAGTGGTTCAAGGTCATTCATTTAGACAAATTTGTTAACCTTTCATTCCAGAATACTGCAAACCCATCATTAGTACCCAGTGCCTTTTGGTTACTGAAAAATTGATTTAACACTTTGACATCTTGGACAAAGAATTAGTGGCTCAAGATCATTCACTACAACAATCTTGGTAGCCCTTCATCCTAACACACTACAGGCCTAATATCAGTACTCGGGGCATTGTAGTTATTAAGGAGAACTCCAAGGAAAATTTTATACCAATTGACCCGTCATACATATATAATTGACTAAGGCGATTTTAACTAAATTTGGCCGAGCATCCTTGGGTTTATGAAGAGGACTGTAAATGGCAGATCTAACCCCTCAGAAGACCAAGTAGAATGACCCAATACAGGATTTTTTGCAAATTTGGATTGATGCATCAGATCATAAAGTAGGCTAAATTTTGTGTAAATTGGTTGTGACTCAAAATCACTAGAGTCGAAATAATTTTCAAGTCACGATTTTTCCCCTTTCTATATCTTTGTATTTTTAGTTCAGACGACTTGAATTTCATCGACTCAAAATTTCATTTGTCCAAGAGATTTTTCAATCCCTTCAATTGTAAAGCAAGCGAAGTCATTCATTGTCTTGAAATTAATTTTTGTCAAAACATTGGCATGTCTTCCGACAAAATCAGTCAATACATACAAAGTAGAAAGTCACATGTGTTTAACACGTGGCTAATTACAACGTATTGGTCAATCATACACACAACACTTTGTCACTTTGGATTAATTACCAGTTTAATTTTCAAATTAAAGGTTGGCATCTTAATAAGTGTCGCCATCCTGTATAAGTGACTTACCTGTTCGTTAAAAAAAGTAGCACATTTATGCAAAACATGGAAACATTTAGCTTGGTTGCATGCATCTTCAGGAACAAAAAAAATGAAACCGCCAAACCAGTACAAACTTTTTGAAGAAATGTGATCCCCACTATTCACAAAGAAACTAAAATTTTATGCTTATAAATGACTGTGATTGGGGACATTGTCAGATTTAGTGTTTGGACAATGAACTGCTGAAAGCATTTTTCATTGATAGACTATATCTGCATGATTTGTAGCAAATCAAAAACAAATTTTAATTTCATTTTATGCCATTCCGTAAAATATATCATGTATGTGCTTGGTCGGAATGATGCAAGTACAATTGCATTTGAATGGAGTTATTATACATTTTCCTATTTGAATGAATAAACAATAAAAGGAGAAAGTAGGATCAATTGGTTTGTTTATTTACTACCATTTCAAATATCAAGATTAAACTACACTGTATGCATGCTATCCTAGCCCTACTTCGTTTAGGAAACTGCAACAGGCAAACTTATTTATACAATTTGTTAGAGTCAAAATACGTATAAGTCAAAATATTTTCCATGGTCCCTTGAATTTCGAGATGAGCTTCGACTATACATCTTTAACTCCTTTTGATCATCCAAATTCAGATAAACAGAAAGCAGGTGAGCTTCCAGATTGGTCCCAGAATGGCCTTTGCATATCAATGGAACAAAAGGAAAACCTCCACATTAAAGTAAAATCCATTCCATACTTCTCAAGTAATAGTAAAATCCAAGATGGCCACCTAGCACTAGCAGCAATTTTTTTTTTTTTTTCCCCACCAGTTTCAAAATGCACAATGCACTATTGGGAAAATATAAATGGAATTGATGATTGATCCATTCAAGACTTTCCAGAAATAATAGTAGCAATAACAGTTCACAGTACTGACAACCAACCAATTGTGGACAAAGTGCAATTTGACCAGACAACCATCAATGATGGACCAAAAAAAAAATCTTTGGTTTTCTCAGCCTACAATCATTAGTTCTAGGCAGGAAAATTACTGTTCCATTTTGAAACAAGCAGCTCCTGTGGACATTTGTTTACTTTTTTCTCAACATATTTCTGAAGGAAGGAGTCTTTCATGAAATGATTTGGATTCCTAATTTACTATGTTCTGGAGTGAAAAGGTCATAAATCCATTCAAAGTACATGTTACACAATCCAGTTATTTTACATCAAGCTGTGATATATATATTTTTTAGTTCATGCTGGTATGAAAGAATAACCTATTTTTTGTTCATTGTATACATTTACATTACATGGTATTTCGGTATGATGTTGTAGCGATGCAAGTTTCAACAGACTTTTCACAATGTGGCATGTTGCTATTGACTCCTCCAAACATCAAGTGGGCAGAACTAGATAATTTTTTGAGAAAAGGAAAGAAATTACATATCTGAAAGCTGCATTTTGCATACAAACAACAAAAAACTAACTATCTCCAGTTTAGAAGTGATGTGTGATCAGGGTTTTCCGTAATTTTGCTAGTAGTGGGCTGTGTAGTATAAGTAGGAGGCTGGCCAGCCATGTACGTGAAGTCGTGTATGAAACATTATTATGGAACTGGATTGGTGTAGGCGGCCAAATTATCAAAGTAGCCGGTCAAATTGGCCGGCGACCGGCTCTTATGGAAAACCCTGTGTGATGTTACAGATATGTTATTCTGAAATCTAAACACATGTTTTCAAATTGAAAACTTTTTGCAAATAGCTTTTAATGTTTGAAAAAAGTAAAACTGCAACTTCACTGGGATTGACAGTTGTCAGAAAGCTAGGAGGTTATTGATTGCTGTTCTTGGGTTTCCCTAAATTCATTGTTTGACATATTTATTAAGTGACTGTGCAGTGTGCAAGATTTTGCATTCAT